AGCGGGGATTGCACACTTTGTGCCTGTTGGACATCAAAGTGAAGGAGCAAAGTGTTGTTAACCTAATGAAGGGGAACGAAATTTATGAACCTCCGAGGTAGTATTTCCCGGGTTGGTGAATTTCGTTGCGAGTGATAGAAATCCGCATAGGTTCATGTCGGTGCAGACAGCATTAGAACAGCTTATGGAGATCGATGAGAAGCGAGGCAATCCTGGAATTGTGGGCAAAGATTCCCTCGTTGTGGTACGATCAGGATCTATCTCCCCATGGTATCTCGCTCAATGATCCGTACAGGGTGTCGCACGTGTTGGTTGCAAAGATCAGTCAATTGTCTTCGGTCGCGCCGAGGATGTGGCCTCCGAGAAAGCATCTGAGAAGCTCGGCGGTCCTCTCCATTCGCTTGTAATCTGTGCGCAGGTAACCAACCGTGATGGCGTTTTATGTTGTTCATTTCTCACATGTTCAGGGTGCTGAAGGGCTACAAGAGATGGAAGAGGAGTTTGTTAAGCAATACCAAATATAATGTACCCAAATCGATAAAGATGTTCCTTGTGGTTTCTGGGACTATGTTGGTGTTCGATCTCAGTTGGTCATAGAAAATCTTCGCTGTGCGTAATGAATCATTACTAATGATGTCTTTCTGTACCACGGGCGAGTCGGAGATTCTGAGCGGGAATCAAGCGTACTTCTCACATGATTCTCGTCGTAGTGGACTACCTTGCGCTACCATGGACATGATGATCATCACGATAAGATCATCGCTATCGTCAGTGAACGATGATACCTTCAAAATGAAAACATAACTAATAATCAATTTCTCATGTCAGTCTGATGACGCTAGATGAACGTTTCTATTGCATGAATCACTGATTGATACTATCAATCAGTCAATACTCAACACACGATCGGATCAGTCAACACGATCAGTCAATATCAATACTAACAAGACCTCGAAGTTAATAAACTATCAATTTTATAGTTTATTAACTTCGAGGTCTTGTTTCAATGTCTATCTTCGGTGTAGATTGCACTACGGCTCTCGAGAAGATCTTACAGCTTAGACTCTCTACTTCGACGCGTTTATTCGAACCAGGGAGAATTGTCGAGGATGTCTATACCAAAATTATGTGTCGACTCTTGCACCTGTGACCTCCCGCTGACAAGACAATTAGAATCAACCGGCCGACTGGATATGATGAGAATCATCATGATTCAATCATGGTATCTACAGTAAGCGACAACATACTGAACGCAGTTACCATCGGTGGTTTCTACTTAGCTAGACCACTGGCAGTGGTCCACTACTTATCAGTTCATGGCTTCCGTCACGTCAACGGGAACCGAGATTGAGAAAATGCTCAGAAGGTTCGAAGGAGACTTGTATCCTAGGCGAGGCGTCTGTGTAGTTGACGCCGAAGTGCTGGGTTGCTTGGACACATTTACACGGGCGGTGATCCGATTATCGGCCCACAACGATCTCATCCAATTATGTATTCCAGGGCAATTCTCACTCCTGATCTAGGGAAACAGCTCAGGGTGGGAACCATCTCTCTACTTGTGATCCGGGATCAAGGCTGTGGTGGTGCTACTCGGAGAAAGGAAGTGTTTTGCAAATTGATTCATGTGAGGAAGGCCGAGAAGCCTCCTCTCTTTAGATTTCAGGCGGGCGCTCAGAATGGCGACAAGCGCTCCCCAGTTGAGCAAAACTATAATCGATCTCTTCTGCCTTGCGAGTTGACCATTTCCACTCCTTTGAGAAGTAAAGGAGGGGCTTTTTCTGCTCTCAGCGCTCATCGCTTGGCCTTGTATGCCCGGTGTGTGGCGGAGACTCACGACGTCGTCACTGATCTACTGGATGTGCTACGTGCTTCGCACAGATCATTCCACTACTCAAATAGGGAAAAAGCTGTGCTGGCCGAAGTGTTTGTCGAGACAGGGAAAGTGTTCAGGTAGCACCTGTCGGATGATGGTCTCTATACTCTGTTGCGGGCCTATCAAGTGAAATCGCTACCAGAGAAGATGAGGAAATTGACTCTATGTGAAGGTATACTTTGTGATGGCCAGTACAAGATCTGTGGATGCGTATCGGAGGCTAAAAATTCGTGGCTCTCGTCACATGAACGGGAACTGAGACTGAGAAAATGGTCAAAGGCTTCCAGGGAGAAATGTATTCTACGTGAGGGGTTTGCATAGTTGAGACTGAAGTGTTGGGTTCGTTGGATAATGGATACCTCCCCGCCAGTGGCGAGATCCGATAGTCGGTTCATACCGATCTTTGTTGACTTGTCCGCCGGTGGACCCCCGGCGCCGATTTACCTTGTGGTCCGGAAAGTACTTCCAAGTACGCCATGTAGCAATTTTCCTTGAGGACTACACGTGTGATGCAGGCGGGCATCATCGTCGACAGATGCAATGGCGTCTTCTGTGATGGTCAAGTAGCTCTATCAAGAATGTGCGGATGGACAACTGGCGATAGGACCACCAGGACATGCGATACCAATGGTCTCAATCATCCATTCACCCTCTGCAGCCAGTGTCTGCCACCCATACACTGTCGTCACTCTCAGTCGATAATGCGTCCGGGACGCATCGCCCTACAGGTGGTTGATTCGTCTCAAAATGTTTGTCACTGTAGAGATTCCGGACACCGTTGAAGGGTATCTTTGGAATAAAGAGGCGCCGCCTACATGTGATGGATGTGATCTCTACTACAGTAGTAGCAGTAACTGCTAGCGAAACAAAAGATCCGAGAGTTTGCCTGCGGCTCACGAGCACTATCATTGCCAAATTTGGAACGGTGAGATAGAGTATCGCTATCGGCGTATCTACATCAGATCTCAAGCTGAGGTTTGATGTGGATTCGCCGATTTGATTCTCAACCCTCAAATTCTTAGGTAGCGCGTGTGAATTGCTGGTAAAGAACTACATGATGAGAAAGATTGGCTGAAGAAAATTGTTCCCTAATTAACCGTTGGTTATCAGGCGGCTCTCTAAGGCTGAGTCGTATCTCGTTGACGAGTTTATAGTTAGCTAAAATAACTATACTTATATTCTAGTTATTAAGGATACAAAATAACTTAGTTTGTATCCTTCCATAGAGTTAGCTTTCGTGACTATAACGCTCAAACACGTTGACAACAAAGTTGGCACTGTTGCCAAGAATATTGGTACTGAGATCTATCTTGACTAGGTCATGATTCACTTGCTTATTCTCGAAGGGATGTGCTCCAGAGCTTGCTCCCGAATCAGGTAGAACTAATCGACACTCGCTATTGAGATCATCCCAATGAGATAGCACTGCCACTATCGCAGGTGGTAGTACAGTACTCAGACAGTACAGTACAGGACAGTACAGTGACTTACAAGTACTACTAGTACTTGTGAGTCAAGTATCCTATCACGGGTCTCCCCCTCAGAATACGTCGAGTTTCCCCAGTCTTCAGCGCATACGCGTCATGGAAGAAAGACAAAAAGGCTATAGTTCTTCCCTGTTTTCAGACATCCTATTTCCCCCATTTTTCGGGCTACGCCAAGCTCATGTTATTTTCTGCTTAACTTATTAAGTAAATCTCGAGACAAGACTCTTGACAGTGAACAGATCTTATTCAACCTGACCATGAGACTCTCAGCAAGTTCAGGTGGGTAGTAACTTCGTGATCCTCTTCACTGACATACTCAGTATGCCTGCTATTTGCGCTAACAGTGTGTGCTGATCGAAAAGACTCCCTGACTGCTCATTGACAATAACTGTACAACAACATCATCACGAAACACCTTCACGATCAGCGTTCGTCGCACGATTAGCAACGACTGCTCAAATGATGGCAAGCACACCGCCCAAAGTAATGGTGGCCATCACCACAACAATTGAAAAATTTCTGAATGGTCTACTTAGTCACCATTGACCACAAAAAAGAGACCTTGGGATACAACTCGAAAGCGATCACGACACACATAGACGAACACAGCCCGAAACAAACAACAGAGCAACTCAAGGAAGAAGCCGGTCGAGTCACTCAGTAAGAATAGCCAATTTGCTTTCTCTTGCATTCATGCTACGCAGGTACGGAGTGTTGGGCTGGAAAACCATCATGCGCCCAAGCCAGGCGTCAAAGCTGTCGCTAAGCCATGGCTCGAGAGCAACAGCGACCTGATTCATAAAGCCGATGGTATGCACGCCAGTAGCAATACGAGGATCATCATTCTGAAGCCTCCAGACGACCTCATCGGTGCACTCCTCCGAAGGCATGTTGAGCAGAGTGAAACAAGGCGATGCCTTGCAACCAGCAGCATTACTGAAGTTGGTATCGTTCATGGCACCAGGTTGGATGGTGAGGACACCGGCACCAAGAGTACGGCACTCATGATCCAGGCATTTGCCCCATTGAGTGAGGAAAGACTTCGAGCTGTAGTAGAAGGCGTTACCGCTACCGATAAAATGGGCTGCTAAAGAGCTCATGATGCAGACACGACCCTTTCCACGAGGAACGAAGTGATGGGCCATGAAGTATTGTGAGAGCATCACTTGTTGGATGATATTCAGACGAATCTGAGCTTCCAACTTCTCCGGCTCGAGATTGACGATATCACACGAATACATACCACCAGCATTCAGAACAGCTAGGGTGACTGGAAGATCATCAACGGCAGCACGGAGTTTGGCAAGACCCTCATCACAGGACAAATCGCACGGAACAACGGCAACCTTGCAACTCGGACCGTAAGTCTTCACCAAAGTATCTTTCAACTCGTTTAACAACTTCTCGTTACGAGCGGCAATCACAAGACTCCACCCTGCTTTCGCCAACTTCATGGCAAACTGACGGCCCATACCCTTGGATGCACCAGTAACAACAGCATACTCCTCGCGAGAAGCTCTCACTGGCTTGAGGTTATAAGGATAGCCCATATTGAAAATCGGGCCCTGAAGCTTCTGAACCACCCAGCATAGCGCCATACCAGTCAAAATGATAGGTGCACAAAGGAGCATGATTGCTATGATACTCAACCACTCGAGAAAGGTGAATGGATAAGCACCCATAGAGAGGACCACTGGTAAACTCTGTTTCTCAGCCATTATAAAAATCAACTGAGTAAATCCAGGTGAGAAAAGCGCCCTGCATCAGACCATGAAGATGACTGTACACAAAGTGATTT